TATCGTCTTTCATTCAAGATAAAAAATTAACCGTTTTGATAGATGATTACACTAAACGCTTTAATAAAATCAGTTTAAGCTATAAAATGTTTTTAAATATTTTTCCCTGAATTCAACTTACTTAAATAAATAAAATGAATTTCATAGTTTGTGTGATGAGTTGAAATTAGTTAGATCATGATTGAAAGTCAAAATTTACTGAACAAATGTTTCGTCCTGGTATAAGGCTCTTCAGCAGTACATATCTACGGCTCAATCAGGGATTGAAACCATGACCTTGAGATTTTCAAACGAACATTAAACTTTTAAACCACTAAGCTCCCATTTACCTTAAATTCATTCAAAACAAATGATATCACTTCAATTATATTAATATTTGATAGGACTTGGAAATTTTCCCATATTAATTCAACTTACCTTTATAGTTCATCTTCATTATAAATTATGACCTTATTTAAACAATAGTTATTATAATTTTTAGACCAATCAAAATTGACATGAAAACTTACTCAACTCAAAATTCAATAATAATAGTAATAATAATAATACTTATTTAAAACAAAAGCCATAAAAATAAAGAGGGAATTATACCAACAAAAAAAAAGAATAAACATCCTTGAAAGGTATTTTTCTTTTCTTATATTGCCTTTTTCTCCACAATAGAATTTTCTCAAATGTTTAATTGATTAAATTATTTATTATAATAATTTCTAACTAAGGAATAGTTCAAGTGATAATAGAAAATAAAATATTTACCTTTTAATAAAGTACATTGTTTAGTGGTGAAAAAAGTTTAATTTTTGTTACGAATGAGAAAGTACTTGTAAACTAACATATCTTGTAATAAGTAATATATATATATATATATATATATATATAAGAGTAATGGTTAACCTATTGTACTCGTTTTCAATTTCATTAGATTTCAACCAGTTCAAAGGTCATTTTGAAGAGACTATCTAAAAAATATTATACGTCCAAACAAAGAAATTAATCCTATCAGTAAAGGTCGGTAATTTCCAATTATCGATAATCAGGACTGTAATTGTTCAGTTTCTGTTTGCATATATATTTAATGAGAATTAGGCATAATTATAAATTCACAAGGTTACTAAATGGTAAGCTAAAGGTAATTAATCGTTTTCTGATTAAATTTATTGTCTTAAACTTCATATATTTGTGATATTTTAAATGGAAAATGCTTTTTTTGCTTGTGTGCTGTGTGCTACTTATATTGACATCAGCAGTACATGACGTTAGTCGTCAACAGAATGTCTGGCAGCAAAGAGACAAGAGGATCGAACAGTAGAGAATGGAAACGGAATGTAATTTGTATGAAAATGCAAGAACAATGAAGTCTGAGACAATTTGATGAACATTTTGCAAATTAAGCATTTACTTTATGATTGTTAGATTTTATTAACAAGTCCTGTGATTTTGTGTCAAGTACGTTCGATTGTCCTCACTCGTCTTCTTATTTACTACACTTGTACTTGTCAACAAGACGTATTTACACTCTCAAAAGAATTAGTGCTTCGATTAAGATCAGGACTCACGTCACTCAGCTCCTTAGTCTGAGACGTCACCATTCAGTCGCTTTGGATCCAAGTTAGGCCTCAAAATAGAACATCAAGTCCCTCAAGAATTCAGATACGTCTTGCTAACAAATGAAAGGTTCTACATGATTTAGGTCTAAGGTATCTTATCGACTACCTTCAACCAATTATTATCAAAACATAGTACATCCGATATCGAGTCACTTGGACTAGAAGTCACATTCAAAACGTTACTTACTTACTTACGCCTGTTACTCCTCGTGAAGGAGCATAGGCCGCTCACCAGCATTCTCCATCCAACCCTGTTCTCAGCAATCCTTTCTAGCTCCGTCCAGTTGTAATTCATCGTTTTCATATCTGCTTCTATTATCCGACGCAATGTGTTTTTTGGCCTTCCTCTTTTTCGCTTCCCTTCAGGGTTCCAAGTTAGGGCTTGCCTCGTGATGCAGTTTGACGATTTGCGTAATGTATGTCCTATCCATTTCCATCGTCTTTTCCTAATTTCTTCTTCAGCTGGAAGTTGGTTTGTTCTCTCCCACAGAAGGCTATTTATGATGGTATCCGGCCAGTGGATGTTGAGTATCTTGCGTAGGCAGCTATTTATAAATACTTGAACTTTCTTGGTTGTTGTTGTTGTTGTAGTTCTCCAAGTTTCAGCTCCATACAGTAGAACTGCCTTGACGTTCGTATTAAAGATTCTCACTTTGATATTGGTTGAAAGTTGTCACATTCAAAACTGACCGACATAATTCTATCGAAATCAAAGACTAAACGAACTTGACACTGGTTACGACTCAATAATCAAACTTTAAACTAGTCATAATTTGTGCAAATTATATTTGAAATAGTCTCAGCGACTACAATTTAAATAATTAAGACGTTCTGTCCAGAAAACTTGCCTGGACTTCTTCAGTGCAATGATCAACAAAATATATCAACAATATAACCAACATCTTATGTCAACTACCGATAACCTAAATGTACACATAAACACACAGTATCACATATTAATTTATGTTCATAGTGTGAACTTTTCATATGATTCACGTTTAACTGACTCACGTTACCTTACAAACGAAAGTCAACATCTGACACGATTGAATAAATACAATATAGATTCTATTTGACTATTAAACATTATGATTTTGATTATTACCCTTGAGAACTCCAGACAAGTTCACTAGACACAATGTCGGAATTTTCTAAACTCTAATCGCTCAGATGACTTCGAATTTTTTTCACTCGGCGCCCAAATATTGACGAATATTAAAAACCGATAAAAAGGCTATAAGTTTAGTAAAACCTGGGATATATTTACAATGTACATATTATATTACAGTGTGGATTAAGCCGGGAAGTCTAAACGATCAATTATTGATTCACTGGTTCAAAGTATTGTGCCAGCTACGAGACCTGTAGGTTATGGGCTCGATTCTGTATATAATCCTGGATCTTCACCGTTCAGAAGTCCTGAATTTAGGTGAAACAGTTGTCCAGCACTCCTTGAAGTCTTTGTCATAGCTGTTGTTTATTCCCTGCGACAATAAGTTTAAAGTAGTTAACCATAAATTTTCTATAAGGGTATTGAAAAATTCATAAAAGGATATGATGTTTTTCAATGTGTTGTGGAAACTTTCTCGTCACTCAACTCCATCTGGAACTTACTATGCAATCTAACGAAGTCATAACATGAATGAGTAAAATGAATCTTAATTACAAAATAATGGAAAAGTTTTAATTATATGAATTGATTGACTACTGAGTAGTGACCAATATCTTATACGTCAAGTCCCTCTTAGTGCTAACTGAATTTTTTCCACCGAATTACAATGTGGCCACTAATCCAAGTGACTTGATATCGTGCACTTCATATTAGGATGTTGGATGGTAGGTGGGGTAGTCAACAGGAGACCTTGCATGAACGAGGTCTCGTTCTATGTGGCACTTGTAACTAAGGCGTAATCCTGAGGGATTATGTGCTCTCACGTGGACTCTATTTAGTGTCGTCCATCCCACAAAAGTACTTAAACACTTCTGATAAGTTTCAAATAACACGCAACCCAGATCCATGATTTCCAGTCGAGTACCTCCAGACACTACCTTATGACTTAACTGAATATTTGAGGAAATACTTTTATTTTAGCAGAGCAATTTTACGTAAATGCATATCTAGTAAAATAATATGATATTTACGAGGAAAGTAGGTCATTTTTTTCGACTATTGTAGTAACCAAAACTTTTATGAAAAGAGATGAATTCAATTCAAACACACTATCTCACGCACTTCTCATAGTAGAGGTTGAAAAGATAGAATTTAACGACTCACGTTAAATCCTGACTCCGAAACTAGTGAGATAAAAGAGTGCTTTGTATAAAGATAAGTAGTAACCACACGGGTTAGAGGGAATTTTACGATGAACGTCCATAGATCTTCTGTTTTCAATCTCTATTAATAATCTGCTGGACTAACAGGAGACTTGAATGTCAATATAAGGCGGCCATAATTCGCTTGAGCTTCAAGAGGACCTTACAGAAATAGAGGGATGAGGAGCACACAATGGGTCAAAACTCAACTTGTCAAAATGTTGTGTAATGACCGCTTGCCTCACTTGATACCAAGCACTTGCATTATTCATAGAAATGTGCTCCTGATTATCTCTTCAAAGAGTGATATCAAGCTTGTAACCACGAAGAGTTTAGACACCAGCCTAAACTACATGGGGGATGCAGCCAAGGTAAACGCAATCCACTACTTTATGTGGAGACAGCTAGGAGAAATCACCCCGACGACATTATAATAATATCATTATCGCACCTCTTGAGGCAACCCTCGGAATGTTGTACAACAAAGAACAAACACCCAGGTGTGCTCTTACTTTTACCAATCAATGCTCTCTCAGTTAAAATGAACGGAGCACCATCATTGGATAGCCTTGAGAGAAGGCTTGACAAGCACGTACTTACCTGTTGACTATCGTCTTCTTTTTGGATCAGCTGTGCCTCATGCATTTCTCACAAATTACAACGTTTATCTTTGCCGCATATATGTAACTACTTCCCAAGTCTCTCATTATCATCCACTTCTGCCCTCTTTTTTTCCATATTACGTCTTCTTATACTGTCTACATTACCAATTGGTTGATTCATTTATTTACCTACCAACTTATCTACATAATATTTTTTGAAACAACAGTTTCCATGATGGTCTAGCTTCAACTGACTCATGATCTTAACCATTGAAATTACTACAATCTCCACAAAACCCATCTGATATTAAAACCATAAAAACTACTAAAATGACCAGAATTTGTGCAGTCGGGAGAATGAACTATGACCAATTGGACATTCTCAAATACCCGGAACCGTAATGAAATAACAAGAAGTGAACTCAAAAGAATCGATCAGTTTATACAAGCTCGTGTCATAGATATTGGATATAAGACTGAAGTGATCATTTTCGAATATTCAAGGTCAGAGTAAGTAAAGCAGCATTCAGTTATTAGTTAACTTGCGTCCAGCCTAAAAGTGTCTTGCGTGTTTAGAGAACATGAAAAGCAGTAAATCTGAGTTAATTTAAGATGGAAATTAACATGAAAACAGTCTACATGGGTCGGTAATAACACAAACGTATGGTTAAGATAGTCTGAGAATGAAACTAAAGTTTGGTATCAAATTGTTTTAAGTAGTGATTAACCGTACACTGTTTGTTTAGTGCTCAGTAACTAAAATAACAGTCCATTGTAGACGTTCCCCCGCTTGTTTTCTAGAGCTGCGTAAAATATTTCAGCATGATTTTTGAGCTTCTCAGTTTTAAGTAAATCAAGAATCAGAGCCTAATCTCCCTGTTTTCAAAAAACTTTTGGGGGCTTCCCCAAACTTTGTGGAAAACTTCAAAATCGGGGATTAGGAGTGGCTCTACCTCAATTCAAACTTGGAAATCAATGAGTCTACAATTGAAAGATATATTGGGACATCCATATGACAACGTGCTCCTTTTTAAATCATATCTGTGAGATAGCAGCAGGCGAAATTAATGGTTCTGACGAAGCTCACCTGCTTGAGTGAAACTCATATGCAAAGGCTTGATATTTCGGTCTATCTGAATAACGTATCCAGACTACCATCCGAAGAGACTATATCTTATGCGCAAATCAACGAACTTAAGAACAGAAAGTCCTGAATTTTCATATGGCGTGATAAAAAGGCGAAATCAGATTTTGAGTCTTGATTTTTGGTGAACATTATTGTTTTTTATACAATTTGATGACTATTTAGAGTAATACTTCCTCTCTGTTGTGATATTCTATTCGTTATAACGGCGAGACTCTAATTTAGCGACGACTTTTGAACGAATCTTAAATGACCTTGACAATTATTAGCCAATCAGAAGACTTTTAGTTTAAAGTGAGAATATATTGTAAGTAAGTAATGAATTACAGTGGATATTCTTCTTTTACATGACTTAAAAACTTGTTAAGGTTTGATAAAGGTTCAGAGGCTCTGAATTGGTAATGCATATGGTATAGAAACTCGTTCATAGGGTTAGTGGTTGGGGCTGTAGCCTAGGGTTAGTGTGCTAACATCCGATCAGTTTACAACGGATTTTAGAGGTTAGGGGTGAGAGTTTGGGGTTATGGTTAGGGTCACAGTGGGGTTGAGGCCTGTCAATAAACACCTCTTCTCTAAAATACGATGTAAACCGATGGCATGTTAGCACCTTAACCTTAACCCTAAACCCTAATCTAACCCTAACCTTAACCCCTAACCCTATGGACGAGTTTCTATACCATATGCATTATGAATTCAGAACTTCTGAGCATTTATCAAACCTCAACAAGTTTTTAAATCATGTAAAAGAAGAATATCCACTGTAATTCATTACTTTCTTGTAATATGTTTTTACTTTACACTGTCTTCTAATTGGCTAATAATTGAAATTGCTCAAACGCTTCTCATTGGCTCGTCCCTAAATTAGAGTTCCGCCGTCCCATCTGTTTTAACCTCTCATTAAGCACCTCCTCTTTAAAATCCGCTGTGAACCGACCGTATGTTAGCATCGCATGTTGAACTTGGCTCCGTGACCTTGAAATTGCTCAAACGCTTCTGATTGGCTCGTCGCTAAATTAGAGTCTCGCCGTTGCCGTACCACATTAGCACAGAGATGCAGTTGTCGATTCAAATCCCGCAGCCATGTAAGTGATGCCCACCCCGAGGCAGCATGGAATGATACCCGAAAAGCTGTGGAAATAGCAGTGATATCTACTAGTAAGGTAAACCATAAAGTTAGGGGAAAATACTGGATCTCAGCAGCATCTACCGCACTGATAGGTGCTCGAAAACTCATCCCTTTCTGGCTCTGAACATGACGAAGAGCGAAGTCAGACTGATAAGAAGCCTGCGCAATGATCGTGGACAGTGGTGGGTAGCGAAAGCTCGAGATGGAAAAGGCAGTGGCAATAGGTAATAGCAGACAACTGTTCAGACTTGTCAAGGGAACCGGTATTAGGAACCCAACTGTTAGCGAGACTATCTCAGAAGAAAATGGATATATTATTCATTCTCAGTCCAGGAGATTAGATCGATGGCAGAACACTTTAGGAATCAGTTCAACTGACCGTCAGCCACACTTCGGTTCCCCACGATTTCCAGTCAACCTAAATAGCTGATATCACTTCCCGGTTTCCCACACCGTGGAGGGGTACTTCTTCAGGAACCTTAAAATGAAGTTGGATTAGTGTTGGTCTTAACGACCTGGGAGCGTTACCGCAGAGCCCATGGGACAACTGCTTGAAGCTGGTCACACACGGATTTTTGTGGGTTTTCGACGTGTTAGCTCCATTCTTCAAAGGGCCTTACCACCGTAGACGGAAATTCGTGAAGTAAAGTGAGGCATGATATTTTTTTAGGGTCGACCTTTTCGAATCCCTTTCTCCCTTGTGAGAAGGCAGCATCGCTGCAGATGCTGGTTGTCCGAGGGAAACACCGTACTGCTGTCCCACTCCTCTACAGTCACCAGTACGACTTCGCCCTCAGACCTTGAGTTGCTGCTTTTAATCTTGCCGTTCTCTAATCGACCTATCTGGCATGGTAGAACCTACAGGAACATATGTTCCATCCAATATAGCTTGGTTGGGTCATCGCGATAGGCAAGCCGGAGCACCACGTCAAGGTAGCAGCTGCGGTCGGGAGAGTAGATAAATAACTGATGTCTATTCGAGGTACGATATCCCCGTATTAAGTTAACGTGAACTACGATCTGCAACATGTGATTTGTTATAACGCTTGGTATTTTTCATATGTGTGGTTTTATTCTAATTAATAAACGAAATAGGTGTATGATCAATATATCAGTGTATTTTTGACTAGGTTCGTCGTCGTGTTTTGGGGTCAATAAATTTTCGCTTGTACCAGTCTCGGTGTTCTTACTTCACATCGTGGGAATCGCATTGGTTTATCGTTGTTTTTTCAAGTATAAATAATAAGCGACGCAGATACAACAGATTTCGACGCTAAACTTATCTATACTTATGTGCAAATAGCATCCCAGTATTATAGCTGTTGTCGATTTGTGGCGAAAACTCTTACTTAAATTCTTAACCCTAAATTCCAACTTTAAATCATAATCCTAATTACTCATACTAATTTCTAACCTATTTTTAACCTCACTAAGGTGATTTGTCTTAAGGTCACTTTCAGTCAGTCAGCTACAACGTAGGACCAGGCACATATGCATCGGTCCAAGTTGCCATACCGCATTAGCACAGAAAGATGAACACCGGATTCTTAGGAGTGGTTAAGTCAGTGGTGGTAATATATAAAAAAATATTGCATATGAGGATATAGTACAGGAAGAAAGAATGAGTTCGTGGAAAGAAACATATGAAGCGATTTTAATCTCATGGTTTGTGGAAAGATAAACAGTGTATACACCGACGCCATTGTGACCGATTCTGGGCCATGTCACACAGAGTTTCCAACCATTGATTACAGTAGTCAAGTAGAACCCGACCAAGTGATCTGCATCTTTCAAAATGGTTCAGTCTAAAAGTCAGTGACTTCAAGCACTGATGCCACGTTTTGGTTTGGCCGCCCCTAACTTTCTTCCAACCATCCCGAACACCGGTTAGCTAAGTACGAGGAATAATAGGAAGTGAAAACGGAGGTTGATTATGAATACAGTGGTCTTGAGTGCTGTTAGAGGTATGAGGGCGGTTATCACTTCCCGGTTTCCCACACCGTGGAAGGTTCGTTCTGGAGGTACCTGAAGAGGGAATTGGATTAGAGGTGGTCTTAGTGACCTGTGAGCGTGACTGCAAAGCTCAAGGGACAACTGCTTGAGGTCGGTCACACACGATCTTTTTATGGGTAATTTTTGTGTTAGCTCCGTACTTGCTGAGACCTTACCTCCGGAGACGGATATCCGTGGGATAAGGCGAGGTGTGCATTTTTAGGGTCGACCTTTTCTAACCCCACCCCTCCTTGTGGGAAGGCAGCATCGCTGTCATGCTGGTTGTCTGAAGGAAACACCTTACTGCTGTCACATCACTGTACAGTCAGCAGTACGACTTCGCCTTCGGACCTTGGGTTTGTTGCTTTTATTCTTACTGCTCTTCAACCGACCTGTCTGACATGGTAGGACCGTGAGGAACGGTTGTTCCAGCCAGTATAGCTCGGTTGCTTCATCACGATAGGCAAGCCCGACCACCACGTCAAGGTAGCAACAACGGTCGGGTAAAATCACTCTAGCGTCTCTCAAATGTCTTCCATCCATTATGGCTTTATTCTACCATCCTCAAAGTTATCTAAAGTTCAACCACTTAAGTGTACTGCCCTTGTCATTATGGGTCATTTGTAGACTCACTAAATTGACTGATGGCAACCACCCATTCATTCTGCCAGTGGTTAAAGAACAAATAAGCAATAGTTGGGTTTTCAGTCGACATACTTTTTGCTGTTGTAGTGGCTTTATCTGAGAGTGGGTCAGTGGTTCCTTATTCTCAGAGTTTCTTCCACTAGAGACCGACTTTCCAACCTTATCCCAATATTACCTATAGTCTATGTGTGTACCCCTAATGATACTCATGATGCCCATTACCCCCTTCATTTATCTTGTTCAGACCTGATTGAAATAGATTTATAAACATTTAGTGTTTTCGTACTAGCTGCGTTAACCCAGTGACCTTTACTATCATCTAGCTAAAACTTACCACGATTCAACTTGTACTTAACACCTGGTTTATTGGTAAATTGATTATTTATTTATTTTATTTAAACACAAACATAGGTACAAGAAGGCACCAAATAGATATCCGCCACACAAATCATTCGATTTGTGTGAGGGCTCGAATACTGCCCGGGCGCACAAACCGAGGCAGATGGTCTTCTTGGAGGGCCACTTCCCGAGCCTCTGACCTAGAGGTCTAATCCATAAGGCAGTGGAGCAACGTCAAGAGATACAGTCCCATGGTAGCCGTTGGTCAGCTATAGGTTTATACTCAATTTTTCCCTTAGGATCCTGGGACCCATGTGCACTATTGGTTTGGAATCAGGGTTTCCCAATTCCCATAGATAGATCCTCCACATCCGTTAACCCGGTTAAAACGCCGGACATTCGCTTTTCGTCCTCTCAATTTTATAAATAACACCCCCACTGTGAGAAGATAGTGAGTAGAACTTCCCTGACACTGGCTGTATACGCGTTGCCATGTGAGAGCATTTCAAGAGAGAGGGTAGAATCTACCCACCCTCGACCGTACCAGGTCATTTGGGTTTGATTTTACTTTACATTCTATACGTGTGATCATCTGATAGGCCTGCCGGGCTGCATCTACAAGTGAAGCTCATGAAAATTGGTGAGTTCTTGTTGACCAGTTTCATTTTCATTCTGTATGGTATCTCAATGCAGTTGATGTTTTTTTTGTTCAGGTTTTTTAATGAAAATAGCAGATGTTGAACAGTGCGCTTTTAATTCATGGTATCACACTTTTGAATCTTACACTCAAGAAAGGTACACTATGTAAATGATATCACTGATAAATTCTCCTACAGTATATTTATAAATCTCCCAGATGACCTTATAGCTTCATTGACAAATGACGAATTCATTCTCCCTAAAAGGTAATTGCCGTAAATATATTGGAAATTAGATAGTTTTGATTCATTCTCTTATTTCCTCTCTACATAACCAATTAATTATATGGTTAGACTAAAACTAATGAGCTAGCCATGCCTGTTAAATTTCTCCCACCTATCTAAATTCATTTTTGATTTGTCTGCCACTTTTTGTGCGGTCCCTCGAATAATTTGAAAGCGAAAGCAAAACTAGTAGCTGGGAAAAAATATATTTTCTGCAATAAAATAACTCGCTTATACACAAAAAATAACATGGCAAAATACGACAGACTATTCGAGGAAATTAGTTTCCAGACCACTCCCTCTTGCGCATCGTATTATACATTTTGTTTATTTTTGAAACATACCTAATTCCTTTTATGTCAGGCACTTATCTGTCTGGCGCACTCATGTGCTACTACAACTTGGGCAAACGAACTAAGACATACAAATGCTCATACATGTTGATCGGATTAACAGTTCACTGCGATAATCATGTGTAGTGCATTGCAATATCTAATTTCCAATAAATGATTAAATATAACAGAAGTTACTAGATATCATTACGTAGTATTTTGCGACATGAAGATGGTAGGCGAAGAAAAAATGAAGACAATGTAGCATAAAACAAATACAATACTGCTATATTATTATTATTTCTATTAGGTGAGATTTAATGTTATGTTGTATATACACTTTTCATAGTCCTAGTAAATTCTGTGTAGAAAATAAAGTTACTGCTCTTTATTCTTTAAATTTAGGTTGTTGTACTTTCCATTTACCAAACAGTAATGTTTAATTATTTATTTAAAATGCCGAGCTTAGCACGTCTTTGTTACAAACTATAAATATTCTGCCTCTTTGAATGTATGTTTTTAGTGCAAAACCAACAAACGGATATCTGTCGGACCTAGACAATGACGTGAGTTACAAAAACGTTTTTTTCATGCTACTTATAAAATGCATAGTAGCCCAATCGTTAAGCTTTACGTCCCATATGTTGTTCGGGGCCAAAATATTACTTGGTTAGCATAAATAAATCAGACGAAGTGGGTTTGAATCCACGTTGAATGCTTGAGATCCGAGTCGATAAACAATTGAACCGCATCTTTACGATCAAATATGATATTGTATTCAGCTTTAGTCAGGATGAGTCATTATGTAAAGTTGTGTTACGATATGCTTTAACTAGTTTTGGATGTCTGTGCAATCGTTTACTGCGTGGCTTTTGGTCAGCGATTTGTTACATCGAACTCCTTATGTGATACATGATTGTTTACTGCATAACAGTAATTTAATACCCAGTTTCCTGCCCTCAGTAAGCATTCATGACCATTTAAACTTGTTTATTCAATTTATTTATTTATTTACTCCGAAGAAGTTGTTTATATTGTCACAAAACGTCGGAAATACAATTTTTCTACTCACTGGGATATAACTGCCGATTCCAAGCTCTGGTAAAGGGGTAGGGTTGAGCATAGGGTCGGTAACTCCATCCTGTTAAAAAACCCTTGCTAAAAACGCCAGCCAGAAGAAACAAATTAAGCCATTTGAACTCTGACCTTAGGAGTTGAAAGAAGAATTATGACGCCTCGTGATGAAATTCGAAATTTTTCCAACGTCACGAGGCTGTCGCTCCTTCTAACAACCACAACAACAATTAATACAGGTACATGGAATGTCCGGACAATGTGGGAGACCGGGAGAATCAGTCAAATATCAACGAAAATGAGGCGATACAACTTAACAGTACTCTGAATGAGCGAAACGTATTGGACCCAAGCTGGACAGCAAAGGTTAGGTACGGGAGAGATTCTGCTGTACTCTGGTCACAAAAAAGATGCTCCGCACACTCAGGGAGTTGCTCTGATACTGTCCAAAGATGCACGAAATTCACTTATAGGATGGGAATCTCATGGGTCCAAGATCATCAAAGCATCATTCAAAACAAAGAAGGGAATCACAATGAATGTTATCCAGTGTTATGCACCGATCAATAATAGCAATGAAGACAATGAAGATCAGTTTTGTGAAAGGCTGTGATCGATCATAGCGAAGTGCTCAGGAAAAGACATGACAATCCTGATGTGAGACTTAAACGTCAAGGTCGGGATGGAAAACATCGAGTAAGAAGATATCATGGGACAACATGGACTGACTAGGAGAAAGGAACGAAAATGGTGAGAGATTTTCAGATTTATGTGCATCCAACAAAATGGTTATGGGTGGCACAATATTCTCCCTCAAACGCATACACAAAGCTACATGGGTCTCACCAGATCACACTACAAAGAACCAGATTGATCATATTTGCATTGGTAAAAAATTCACAGGGTTAATGGAGGACGCGTGAACCAGGAGAGGTTTAATACAGCCTTCCTTCGACAGACTGACAAACTCAACGAATTTAAGTTAACTCTCAACAACAGGTTCCAAGCCGCACAGGATCTACTGAAAGAAGAAACTATGGAGGACAACTAGAAAGGGGTCAAAGAAGCACTAACTTCAACATTTTAGGAGGTGCTGGGAGGCAAGAAGCATCATGATAAGGAATGGATCTATAGAAACCCGGGACAAGATTGAAGAAAGGAAGATCAAGAAGACAGCAATTAACAACAGTTGAACAAGAACAGAAAAAGTCAAGGCAAAACTGAATACACAGAAGCAAATAAGCAAGTGAAGAGGAGAATTAGAGCCGGCAAACAAAAATACGTGAAAGAGCTAGCAGCGACAGCGGAAAAAGCTGCAAAAGAAGGAAATGTGAGACGACTATATGACACAACGAGGAAACTGGCAGGGAAATATAGTAAACCAGAGAAAGCAGTCAAGCACAAATAAGGTAAGACAATCACCGAGATTCAAGAACAAAGGAACAGATGAGTGAAATACTTCAAGGAACTCTTGAAAAGACCACCTCTATTGAATCCATCAAACATCGAAACAGCACTTACAGACCTTCGTATAGTTGTCACCCCACCGACGATCGAAGATATCAGGATGGCCATCAGATAAATCAAGATTGGGAAAGCAGCAGGATCTGACAAAAATACCAGCTGAAGCACGAAAGACAAACATAGTGGTAACTGCAAACATGCTCCGCATCCTATTCAGGAAGATTTGGGAGGAAGAACGAGTACCGACGGACTGGAAAGAAGGACAGCCCATCAAGATATCAAAGAAAGATCCAAGCAAATACGAGAATTACAGAAGCATCGCAATACTGTCAGTACCAGAAAAGGCTTTCAACGGAGCGTTGCTGAACCGGATGAAAGACCCAGTAGACGCACAAATTCGAGATCAACAGGCTGGATTCCGTAAGGATCGGTCGTGCACAGACTAAATCGCGAGCATTGTTGAACAACCAGTTAAATAGAGCTTGTCACTATGCCTCAACTTCCTTGATTATGAGAAAGTATTTGATAGTGCAGATAGGAGAATATTATAGAACCTTCTTCAACACTATGGAGTTCCTGAGAAATTCGTCAATATCATCCGGAATTTATACGACGGACTGCAGTGCAACTTCATGCATGGAGGAAAGCTGACAGATTCATTCCATTTAGGGACCGGAGTCAGACAAAACTGCTTAGACTCACCCTTCCCCTTTCTTCCGGTGGTCGACTGGGTTATGGATGCCTCGACATCTGGGAGGGAACGCGGAATACAATGGATAGCTCGGAATCAATTAGAATATTTGGACTTCGCAGATGACCTGACCCTTCTGTCCCAAACATACGAAAAAAATGTAGATGAAGACAACTAGTGTAGCGGCAGCCTCTGCATCAGTAGGCCTCAAGATACACAAAGAGAAAAGCAAGATCCTCTAATACCAATTCATTCACACTTGATGGGGAAACTCTAGAACAGGTGGTAACATTCACGTATCTGAGTAGCATCGTCGATGATTAAGGAGGATCTAATGCAGACATGAAGGCAAGGATTGGTGAATCAAGGGCAGAAATTTTACAATTGAAGGATATATGGGACTCAAAACAACTGTCGACATACATCAAAGTCAGAATCTTCAGTACGAACGTCAAGACAGTTCTGATGTACGGAGCTGAAACTTGGAGAACTATCACAACCATCATCATGAAGGTACAAGTATTTATGAAAAATTGTCTACGTAAGATACTTAATGTCCGTTAGCCGGATATCATCAGCGACAGCCTACTGTGTGGGAGAACTAACCAGCTTCCACCAGACGAGGAAATTAGGGGAAGACATTGGAGGTAGATAGGATATACTTTGCGGAAATCATCAGACTGAATCACGAGGCAAGCACTAACTTGGAATCCTGTAAGGAAACGAAAAAGCGTAAGACCAAGAAATACACTGCGTCAGGAATCGGAAGCAGACATGAAAAGGAGTGCCCAGGACAGAGTTAGAGAATACTGGTGAAAAGTCTGTGCTCCTCCACGAGGGGTAACAGGCATAATTAAGTATTAACCTGTCTACTCAATGTTCAATTTGTTTTAAACTATCAAATCTAAGCTTGGTATCGATACCATTATCGTGTTTTACTTATAATCGTCTCATATTTTCTTAAAAAGTGTTTTAATTGTTATAATTTCAGGGCATTTGGTCAGACTATTCCGATACTGATGAAAAGAACTCAGAGGTAATTAGCACCCAACAAAATTTGAAAAATATTGCGTTAAGAGACCAGAATTTCCTCAGTTCGAATCTCAGTTGAAAAGTATCATCCGGAAGTTAGGTGGTGTTGTATTTCCGAAGTTAAATTGGAGCGCCCCATCTGTAAGTGTTGTATTTCAACATATTTAATTGCTATAGGATGCTTCTTGGATGTCTTTCGATGGGTCACTGAAGTGCAAAACGTTTTCCGATATTTATCTACTCCTTAAATCTTCAGATTTCGCAGCACATGACTTGACTGCTCCGTAATGTGTATATTTATACAAACATAACGACCGATATTTTGCGTTCCTTTAGTTTCGCTCTGTGTACAGATACTCCAGCAGAGAAAAATTGCTGTCTTTTCAATTCCAAACCGATTCTTGTTCTACGAAGGTGGTATGACTTTCGTCCTGAGGAAGAATTCCGATGTTTCATTAAATCAAAAGTCCTTATTGGTAAGTTAATCGTAGTGTTATGTCCTTGTGTGTTGTTTGCCCTATTATTTTATATGAGATTTAAGTTGTCATACATGCTGTAGGAGTCGTAAAGATCCGAACTAGACTTTTATGTTAGTCAACATACACCATAATCCTAGAAATCAGTGCAGCTCAGTAATATACGAGATAATAGACCACATATGTTTTATACGAATCAACAGCAGATGGGGCAAGCTTTTATCGACAACAAAATGCCTTTGATACTAAGTGTCTATACTGTATTATTATCCTCAGGTTACAAATTAGTATTGTCAAGTTTGAAGTTTGTGCAACAATAAACCAGTTGTTAAATTTGACAAGTAAATTTGTTACTTTTGTCCATTTATCATCCTGAATTATTCTGATGCACTCAAGAGCATAAAGGAGAGTCTTTAACTTCTCAAGGCTTTGTCATATAGCCTTTATGTTAATAAAAACACCCGACACGTAAACTTAGTTGGCAGGCATGCAGAGATCTCTTCGAGGAATTCGAAAACTTATTTGAAATCAGTGTTGTAAATGAGCTCCGGAGTCCTAAGTGCTCCTAATCCCCTTAGTAGTCACTTTTTGAAGACTTACACTCAGTGTTGTGTGGGACTCAGATATCCTAAGACTACGAGTGCCATTAAAGCATTCCTTAGTTAACGTTTACATCTTGTTATTTGTTATGACTCGTCAAAATGTCACGTGACAAAATTCCCAATCCGAACACCGACTTATGTAACCTTGACCCTATGTTAAACCAATGGTGCGTTAACCAGCACGAGCAGTCTTAATTCAGCTCTGAGTCCTTATTGGTCCTCTGTATAGTAACTTTTCGCCTAGCCCAGCCCGTTCAGTCCCGAACACAAATAAAAGCCTCCACTGTATGAATCGTATATTTCAGACATAATTGGTTTTGTATACCCGCAAATGAGACCGCATCACACCATAAGATGAAGAATAATAATTATACAGATCAAGCCAAAAGTGGTTGTATGGGATACTGTAACTTATAAATTGGGAATAAGTTGAGAATGGTAAATCGTATAACATTAGCCAGTAGGCGAAATAAAACGTTATGATAAAAGGAATACGTTTATATATATATATATATATATATATATATATATATATATATATATATATATATATATATATATATTTGATGAGCACTGCTTAGGAACTCCATCATACTATAAGACAACTGTTTCATGGTTCTTTGTTTCGAACTGCTCCCTACTTAATATCGTTCCATGCAACATACTGCATTTCTTAGTGTTCAGCATGACAAATTTTTTACCAACTGAAATGTCAGTTTAAAACAAAATACAAACTTAGTCGCCCATAACTTACGACGCGCGAACGCCGAACCTCTAGACTACTGATCCCAGCAGCCAGCGGTGTACACGTTAGTTCACGATATGGCGCAGACATTTTTTGTTGTGAGCATGATGATATAGTATTCCAATTTTTCGTTTACTATGTTTTTATTTTCAATCCTCAAGCAATTTCCCAACGAAAATGTGATGCCTATTTCAAAATAATTGAAGAACAGATAGAAAACATCAAATACGACCTTGTGGAATTCTTTAATCGAAAAATAAGAAATCATTTCAAATCAGAAAACTGTAAATTTTAGTTTTTTTTTAAAAAAATATTGTTTTAATTCATTTATTAATCTAGATACAGTTGACTTATACAGAGAATCATCGGTAAGTGATTTCTTTCCTAGTGTTATTCTCTTCTCTTTAACTTATGTATAGGACGATGGTAAAATGCGTATTCAAATAATTGATTTCAATGTATTTGGTCCACCAACTGAAGCACTTTTATTTCAGTGGTCAGAATTGGAAAATGATGTACATAAAAATGTGAGTTTAATTAACGCTAATTTTATAGTATACTTCGGTTTATATGACAGCCGAGTTGTTCAAACGCTAGTTTTACGGCTAAGGCATTCGAATACCAACCAATAGGTAGCAGGTCCAAGTCACACTCCACCTTTTTGAGTCCAGGCACCGAGGTAATATTACCATCTCTCTCACATAAAGTGCAGCTCAAGCCGAATACACGAATCTATACTTGTTAAATGAATGGCATCATATTAAAATGAAAAGTTGCAGCCTAAGACTTCAGTGGGATTTGAAATTCAACCCATTTTAAATTTAGCTTATTCTTACTTCATCTCCCTTCCCATGCACAACTAGTGCAAGTTCACTCTTTGTCAGACTGGATAACACTCACTAAGGCCTGAGAACCTTGTGTTGTTGGTGTATCTTTTCTCTAAAACCCATATACAGAACTCAAGTGACCCTAACGAAGAGATGTGGGCAATTCGTACGATCCGTCTTTCGCCTACCAGGAGACTCGTCAATGACGTCTGACGATCTTCCGGGTGTAAATATAGCATTAAGTATGGAAACATAACAGCCACTCCTAGAATTAATTCTAGTTGACAGTTACTTGTGTGCTGAATAATAAATGGGAAAACAAGAACGTAAAAGAATTTTTTCGTTTTATTTAATACACATATATACTATTACAATGGAGTGCCAAAGTAAGTATGTTCCACACACGGAAATGCTTTGGCATAAACAGTAGTGAGCATCAGTAGGTGTAGCACTAAAGTTTATTTTTCAAAAAAAAGAACAATATCAGAGAGTCAACTGTTAGTGGGACTATCTAGAAAAAAGACGGTATAACAGTTCAAAATAGGCGACTGGAATAACAAGAGGGAAGCCTTGAAGTACTGCTCTACAACAACCCTCCAGTTGCCTGCTACTGACTACGAACCTAAATAGAAGACTCATTAGTCTCCCAACTCTAAAAAATTTCATGAGCGACATAACCTAAGACGTTGGGTGGCACCAAAACCTGGTGTTATATTTCAGATGTTCTTAAAGATATGTGTATGAAACAATCATTGAAATTGACTGAGATGCTAAGTATAGTCTAGATGCTTACAGTTATCTCGTCAGACTAGTCGTGATCGTTGGCACTTTCGATCCATAAAAAAGGATAGGAATCTTGTGATTATCATCAGAGAATCATGTTGATTGAAATCTCTTTTTTAAATAACGGCTGTCATAATTATCCAGCACACAAAGAAAGCGCGATAGTAGTAAACCTGAAAACATCAGGCGAATTTTCGACTTATCACAGCTTTTACAGATAAATAACGCTAGAGGCGCTATCAACAAACCACCATACTGATGTGGAGTGCTACATTTAATGAAAAATCACTTCATTATCATCCGTATTTTGTTGATAGGATACTATTCCGTTATTTCGCTACCAAAGTGACCAAAATATCCGTCCAAATTCAGTGAATCAATACAGCGTGCCAATCGATTTGATCGATATTGCTTCAGGATCTGATCCCGTTAAGGTGATGGACTTCATTCAAGCTGTAAGTCCGGAAACATACAGTTACTCGTCTATTGTTTTTCATATAAACAGTACAAACGTAAATCTTTGTTATTGATAGCGACATCCCTTATTACTGACACTAGAAATATCACTAACTACTACTGGTATCCTCTCTAAAAGGTTATGTTTCATTGTCAATGCATTTCTAACATTCCTTTCACTTACCCACCATTGTCACACTAGTTTCCGACGTCTTTACATTCTTAAAAGGTATCAAGATATAACGAGTTTAAAGTTGTTTTACGTCCTTGATCTGTCTACCCAGTAATATACAGGAGAGAACTTGTCTCGACCTAGGTTAAGGCCTTAACACGATAGCTTAACTGTTTTAACCTTGAGGCTAGAAATGCGTGAGTCTGAATTGAGACTAAAGGCCTTTACCAGAGAGGGGAAGACTATTCCATAACCTGATTGGTTGGCTTCAATTTTTCCGGATCAGGGCATGTTTCGTAGCGAACAAGTAGTAACTTCCTCATAGTCATACCTTTTTAACAGAAAGTTATTACGTCTAACCACTATGTAGTAAATATGATGCATTATGTACGCGGTGTTGTTATATAGATTTTATTTGGAAACTTTGTAGTTACTACCTTTTATTGGCTTTTGTGAAACAAGTAATGTCACGCGTGAGGTTGTTCACCACTAACTACTTGTGAACAAATGATCCGAAGTACAAAAGTCGTATTTATGGTATAGTGTCAACTATATGAAGTTACTCAATAGTGATCACATTCTTTTTCCCTTCATTTGGAAGAACCAAGTTGACAACATACCTATAACGAATTAGGACTGTATCGTATGATATGCGAAGTAACCGAATAGTCCAAAGTTGTAATGACAATGTTCTCGTTCTAACAACAAATTGATAAACTTTTTGTGGAAATGTCTTTCAAAAGATATTTACCTTATTATGCACTAAAATACTATGACCTTTTGTCACCCGTTTTGTTTTTTGTCTCATTCCACAGAAAGTAGAAAGTCAGAAACAGTCGTGAAATTGTATTTTCTATGTATCTGTTATTTTTCAATATTTCAAATAAAAAAATACATTTTTCTTAGATCAAGCTGGTAATTATTTTTTTTTCTTCGAAGTTTTTGAAACCTTAGTAGGCTTTTTCCTAGCTGGCGACTGTTGCTTTGAACTATATTTCTGTGCAATCTTATCCAGAAAGTTTTCTGATGATTTTAATGCATTTTCATGTCGTGCTTGAATTGCCTTAGCTAATGTATCCAAATCTTCGTTAACATCAACTATCTGTCTTTTGTTTTTATTGTTCTGTTCCTTTGCAAACAACTTTTCTTCCTCTAGTGCTCGTTTAGCTCTTCTCTTTGCTTTCTCAGGTCTTTCATGTGTGTACTTCGTATATGCATCAATTTTACCACTAGATATCAATTTATCAATAAGACCGCGAACTCGACTTTCATCCCGATATGACGTGAGCATTAAAGACTCCATTATAATATCCATATCACCTTTAGAACGATTGTAGATCTTGATCAAATCTTCCGTTTCCTGTTCACTTCCTTTATACTTTTTACAATAGTCATCTATTTGTGCAGTTGTGATTTTAGGAAACAAAAGTTGCCAGTATTTAACCCAATCATCATATGATTTGCCTGTAATCTCATCGTCTTCATCGATAACACCTAAAAATTAAGATTATTCTATTTTTATAAATCGAGAACCAACCTGTCTCATCATAGACTTTACGTTTCTCGTCATCTTCCATGTACGAATAGACTCTAGACAGTACTTGGAAACGTTTTGTCGCCTCTGACTTTGAGTCACTATCATGGCGATCAGGATGATGAAGTAAAGACAATTTATAGAAAGCTTTACGAACTATAAAAGGATGACATATTTCATATTGTATATTTACGTTCAGTTTTGTCACACTTCTTAGTCACTCCGAAGACTTCATATAAGTTCTTCGTGTGAAAGTATTTAATGCAATCTTTTAGCAAACTTGACATTATATGATCTCAAAAGTCTAAAAAAAATATTAAACGCTTGAGTGCACAACCTTAAGCGAAAATACATACGACTGTATATAGAAATCAAAATATATTTCAGAGAGTTTCCTGATTAAGAAATCTTAACATTTGACTCTTGTTTCCCCGTACTCTTGTCTAGCAAACAGTTTCAGGAGGTATCGGTAAATAGAAAAGTTGTCAAACATTTGCTTGAAATTTCTATATCATCAACCACCATAAATATAGAACGTCGCATAATATGAATCCACCCCAAAATCATACTTTTATTCCATTCATCACCAACCTCTTAGTTTTTTACACTGCAGTTTTGAATCCCCTTTGTGCCTTAAATGTCATATATGACACGATTTAGAGTGACGAAATGCGGAACCTATTATTCAATCAACCATACTTTGAATTTCTATAATAACAATAACAAGTTAATAAATACATGAATTCAGAAGTAAAACACTGACTCCTAGATGGTCATTGTTATTCGGGTGACTATAGCAATAACAATTCATGACAGAGAACACCAACTTCTTATGAAAAATGTCTACTCAAGAACTCATCAAATGAAGGGTGTTAGTTATATATTTTAAGTTTGGGTTGACTGTCAGCCAAATATACTACGCAAAACCGCGCATCGAACCAAGTAATTGCACAGGTGATTGATCGAAAATATATTAGATATTGTTTAGTAATCCTACTCTTCGAAATGGCTGTTAGTTGATAAGCTTGATAATAGCGCATAGACGCTATCTGATAACAAATGGGGGGGCGATATGAACTCTTATAGGATACCGCGTTTGGTTGACGATGAAATACTACGTTAACACACTACATCAAAATATTATCATACCGCTCAATTTATGAAGATATAAGCACTCTTTACACCCAACCATCGCTGATATATTCTATCCTTCAGTCGTTCGCTGTGAATTCTTCAGTGACCGGGAGCAGCGCAGCAAGCACAACTAAACAGTCACAAAGGGAGAACTCGGAGTGACAGGAGGCAAGGGTTTGTATTCCAAAATGGAATAAGAGAGTACAACTAGAGACCATCTTTACAAGTTATGGGTTTTATGTATTATCGTATTCTCAGGACTTTCTTCCTTTCCAATATATTCACTCTTTGTCTCTCTGTAATAGAATATTTTTGCGTCAATATCACAAGTACAATGGTCTCGAAATAATTATAACTAGCCATCTGTTAAAGAGTTGAAAATCTAAGTAATGCAAGACAAGGTATTATGTTCAATACCTTGACTAGATAATATAAACCAACTCAAACTTTGCTCGGCAGAATAAGCGAACTATCTGTTTATTGATGTGTCTGAGTCGTAAAAGAGCGTTTTTGACGATAGAAAGGTGCAGTTCTGCACCGCATATATTGCAGATTCACTTATTGATGTTAGGTAGTAGTTCGGGTTCTTTGATTGGATTGGTGATTATGTAGCGACTCGGATTATATATTCCTAGTGATCAGTAACATGTGGTTTGATTTCCTTCTCTGTTTTTATTCAGTTTGATAAAGACAAAGCAATGGATGAGTTATGTAAGTCCTGGTGATGGGGTCTCTTACCGAATCTAAATTTCTTCTAAATGAGCCTACGTGTGGAACCTTACAGTGTGGTTTTAGGGAGTTCCACCGTTTGATGTTTCTATAGAAAAGTTGGTAGTCACCCCATAAGTACTAGTTTCTGGGCTTGTGAATCTCCACATAGTGTCCTTCTAGATTCTCTGTTCTGAAGGACATGAGATATGATGGCATTTTAAGTGAAGAATTATAACTAACCAATTTGAACACCGTGATCAAGTCACTACTAGATTTTACCTATAGCAAGGATAATTAGTTTAGTCGGTCGGTCGCTCGCGTAGTGAACTCCAACGGAAGCTTAAACAAGACATAATAATATTTCAAACTGAAACGGCAGTGTGCAAATAAGAAAGTGGTAAAAGTACAACATAATGACAGCCTTGGGTTAACCAATCAGAATTAGAGTAACGCCTCATGAATTTCGCTTCAAGTTCACAATATCCCATGCTTGCCACCCGGATAATTATCTGCAATTTTTCTGAAAAGCCTGGATTGTAAATCAAGATGTCTACTGAATAATCTTTACAGATGAATAAATTGCACTGTTGGATGTAAATATAATGATGATACATCCGCTACTGGTTTACGAGTGTATAGACAAAAGGATGAGGGACTTTATATCTATTCTGAGAGATAAAGCAATAATGCAGGCTTTAAAAACCAATACACGAAAAGTGATATGTAAATTCATGACTCAGGATATATATATATATATATATATATATATATATATATATATATATATATATATATATGTGCATCGCTTCTTCGACACTGGCGTGCCTAAGAAGATAGTCAACAATTCTTATTAAACTGCAAAATTGTGCATGGAGAACAGCTCATAGACTCGTTCGAAGTAAAGACCGGTGTCAAGCAAGGTTGCTTACTCTGACCCTTTCTTCTGGTGATCGGCTGGATTATGAAGACATGTTCATCTGAGGTAAGCACAGGATACAGTGGACAGCTAGGATACTGCTAGACGACCTAAACGTCACAGATGATCTGGTTCTTTTATCGCATACGCAACAACAAATGCACAAGACGACCAGCGTAGCAGCAGCAGTAGGTTTCAGCGTATACAAAGGGGAAAGCAAGATCCCTCGATGCCACGTGCACCAATGGAATCACACGGGGAGCTTTGGAGGATGCAAAAACCTCTACATGCCTGGGCAGCCTCATTAATGAGCACGGTGGGTCTGATGCAGATGTGAAGGCGCGGATCGGCAAAGCAAGAGCAGCATATCTACAATCGAAGAACATCTGGAACTCAAAACAACTGTCAACCAACACCAAGGTCAGAATTTTCAATACTGTATGAGGCGGAAACTTGTAGAACTGTGAAATCCATCATCTAAAAGATACGAGTGGTTAATAACAGTTGTCTGCGCGAAATACTTCGGATCCGTTGGCCAAACACTATCAGAAGTAACCTACTGTTGGAAAGAATAAACCAGATTCCAGCAAAGGAGGAAATCAGAAGCGCTGGAAGTGGATAGAACACATACAGATTCATCAAGATTGATAAACTCTTGGTTGTGCACTTGATGTACTTTCAAGCAAGATCGCAGGTACAAGGTTGTTCCACCCCCATTCCTGTTTTTTCTGTCGTTGCAAAGTAAAGATATCCCGATTATTGCTAGCTCAGGTCCGTAAATTGAGATATTCTTATCGAATGAGTATCATTAGTACTACTAAACTCACACAGTTCATCCATTTTATTTGGTAAATTCGTGGCATCCATATATAACTAATTTATGCTTTCAGTTCGAAACCCATGATCTTCCCCATCCTGTCTATCTGTATGAGCCTTATGTGAATGGACCTGATGATATCGCTTTCAGAATACAGTATGTCAGGCATTATTTTTACATCCCCACCTGATTTCAGTGAGTGACTAGCCAGCAGAACATCCACTGCGTCGGCAGCGTTAGTGAGCGTTGCGCCGACTCAGTCTTGGGTGGTTTTGATCCTTGGAGTCCTTTCCCCGAGCGAGCCGTATGACAGTCAGAGGCTCTATATTGGGAAGTTCGAGCTTCCTGTTTAACTCTCCTAAAGCATCCTGTCACTTTTGCCATGTAGATTGAGGAGAATGTCAGAGCTGTCTTTAAGGTTCATGATTACGAGAATCGTCGCGAACCCTGATTGTTTTCCTAGGTTTTCGTATACGTTCAGGATGCAACTTTTTTTGGTAGTCGAAGTGCGTTTCAGATTCCTTACTGACTGACTGGACAGTATTAGGGGTAAACTGTATGGCAAAATTACCACTCGGTTTCACTACAATACCTGGGATGTTCTGCTTTCTAGACGGTGATAGACAGTTCTTTTTAACTTTGTTGACGAGAGTCCAACCACCTATAGAGCTTTTGGGGACCTGTTTCGTTCAGAGACCCTGTGCTGGGAGACAATTTTGCTGGGTGAGTCTAGTGCTGTCGATTTTATGGTGCTAGGCTTCAGCATGTCCTTACTGGTGTTGACGCATGTTCCGTCGATGCTAGCGTCGCTGATGTCCCTCTTTTTTCTTCACCGCGCGCCTTTGTTTGCCTACCCGTCTTAAGACTATCTTTTTTCAGGTTTACTGACAACCTTTTCCACAGACCCATCAAGAGAATGATGGTGGTGCTCAGCCAGTCCTCAATATTCATGTTCCACGTGACACCCACCTAGTATCCGAGTTATTAAGTCTGTCGTAAGTAGTTACTGTGAGATTTGTTCATGCTTTGTGGAACCAACATTTGCATTTATCACACTGCATTCCAGAGGTGACAATAAATCGGCATCCGGGTCGCTTGGTAATGTGAAATTTTGGTGAGATTACAATATTTGGATGACCTTTGAGAGACGCTAGACTGACCTTAAGAATACCCACCTACTAACAAGAACCGAATAAGGTTTATAAACCAGGGCGAGGAACTACAATTATTATTTACAGTTGATGGTTAAGGATAGGAATTAGATTTAGGGTTTTCATCACGAACTGATATCAGCTACAAAGACGAAACTCTATTTAGCCAAATGAGTGAGTGAATTCCGCGCCGAAATCCAAGACTTGTTATGTTATATCTGATTGGTTCATCCATAAATTAGTCTCGCAGTAATTTTTAACAGATCCTAGAAAAGGTCTACGACCATAAGACAAAAAACAGCACACTCAAAACGGATAAGATGGATAGAAACGGGTGGTGCAAAAAATTTGGATAGGTGAAAACTAGCTGTAACGTGAAGAAGTGAAAAATCAAATAGTAATTCGAGACAAAACCACAGTCAACTATTAACTTGGGTAGAACTCGAAGAAAGTAATCTACCAGGCATTAAGCTTAGGATGGATTATTTGGGTTAAAAACGATACTTTCATTGCGTAAAGATACAGCATAAGTTCGAGAAATGCAAATCATTTTAGAAATGACCGTTCCGTTTCGAACGCAAAAAGCAACGTACTTATCAAATAGCCACAAATGAAGGATATGCATGTTATAACAAATAAACAATTTTTGTGAATGCAAATGTGACTGTATTTACAAGATTACACGAAGATGTTGTACAAGGATTTTTGCCAGAAAAATCATTAAACATGCATGTCAATATACTCGTCACACACGACTTCTGAGATTCCATGAATTTACCTAATTCCGGTACTTTGAAGCACACCTAGCAGTTGGTTGTCTTTTTGGAAGAGGATGACTGATTATACGAGACTCCTGATTTCCAACATAATGAATGTTGTATAAAAGGTCAACATTCTCTTCACACCTGCTTAGCTGAAGACAATACTTGAGGAATTCTTAAATGACAGTGTATAGCAGTTTTCAAGGCTCACTTAATGAATGACTCATAAGTAACTTCGCCAGTTGAAATCATGAGTCAATTGAAGCTAGACCACCATGGGCAGCCGTTTCGTCCTAGTATGGCACTCCTCAGCAGTGCGCATCCTCGAACCCAGGGCTCATCAGCCTCGCATTCGAGCGCTCAACCGTTAGACCACTGAGCCGGTATCCAACAGTGTTACTGTCTAACTTTAACCAATCCACGAAATTGTATGTCTAGATGAACTAATATAAAACATAAGTGACCTGGAAATAATAGTCGGTAATCGTGAAGTTCTGAACTCTGAACAGCTTTTATCGCATCGTATCGTTTGTCATATCTTGATATCTTCAGCTGGAGAGATAACACACCCACGGACTACATGTCTGTGTCCTATTTTCGGTATCTCCGTGTGTCGTTGTGGATTATGTTTCGTTCTATAGTCTGTTACAATTACGTTATTGTTTTGTTAAAACTCCGATGCGCCAGTCTGAAGATATTTTATCAAATATGCAAAAGTCGTTGTAAGAAAATGATAACTTTGTTTAGATTATCAGCCAGGTTCTAGCGTAGATTTTAAACGGTATTTTGAAATTGCGGGTTTAAATTTCAGATACAGCCGATATTTTTTGATCTCATGTACGGGATTGGACCTGTTTTCACAAATCGTGAACAAAGTAAAGGTCTTTTTTAAGAATTCTAGCACTTTAAAAAATTTAGAGGCTCTTCATAACTCTCCCTCGAAATTCTCAGTGAAATTACGAAAAGTGATCAATTTTATCCTACATTTAGGAGCTTAGGTCGTTTATGTTGGTGTTTCAAGTCAGCTTACTGGTGTATTGAACTTACTGTCGATGAGATTTGCACCGCTTTCTAAAAACATGGAGAAACAAAGTAGGAAATCGCATAAGAGCATTAATGTCGAAGGCTTACTGATTTCGGTGATTTCTTTACAGTTACAGTCTTCCAGGTGGCAGTTGAGTTGTATTTTATTCAAGTTGTTTGGATCACTTACAATTAACTTTGTGTCATCATGGTTAGTTGGCATGCATTGTTACTCACTAATAATGTACCTCAAGATGAACTTTGTCATGCTTCATACTTATTTCTCTTGCTAACACTGGTTTCTGGTCAGTATAATCGCGCTTCAAAGGCAATGTTACGAATAAATCGGTTTGTTATTATTAATAGGGTTCCAAATTCCTGGGTCGAAAATTTTAAAATTGGAATTTCATCTTGAGATATAACCACATTATTGTAGTACATGATTTTGTCAAGTTATGTCATCTAGACCAAACAACGTGTGTTACCTTACATCGGTCATCTTGCAACCAGATTTTTAACAATCATCGTGTCGACGACTAATGGGACATGAGTGAACTCAAACTAACACTGGCCACACTTAAATGTATTGGTATGTAAGCCTGAGTAATTTTTTTCTGATATTTCATATTTACCAACGTTGAGAATGCGAATTAATAGAACTGGTATGTGAATCAACGTATAGTTAGTCTGACCATAATAAATTAAAATGTGACACGACAAGATCCCCATGTAGATCACCAACATAGATGATCTATGTCGAAATGATTGGAGGCCTACTCGAGTTAGACGTGAATGGTGTGACAAACTAGCTAATGTCGAAGTCACACCTCGTGGTTAGCACGTTACGTGGACTACCCCATTGACGTATCAAGGTACCATAGATGCTTCGAAGACTGTACAACACAGAGGACGTTATTACAGAAATATATTAGTTAAGGTAGATACAAGCGAAAGTAAGACCACTGCTGCATGGGCCAGTCCATGGCATACCATTAACTAATGCGCGTTGGTTGTACGTGACCTTGGCAGGGAGCGACGATCTGTTCGAGATTCAGTGATCCAACTGCCGGATGATTTGGCTAGGGATCAGTGACATTTCACTGGCCCTACAATACTCCCCCACCAGATTCAGCGGCCGTTTGAATCGGTACCAAACATGTTAGGAGCAGTCACGCGCCGGAGGGTGCCAAACGAATATTATAAATTCTCCAGGTATTGCTTATCTGTAAAACAAATGGAAAGGAGGCGGCAGAAACTGGTCGAGAAACAGCGAGTCATAATATGTTAGTAGGACGTTGCTTAAAGTAAATTGATTAACCATAGAAATAATGAAAAGAACAAAACGTTTTATTGTTCTATCAAGTCGCGCTGAAATATATAGCCTTGACAAGTAATTCAGTTCCTCCGACGACAAACGTTAAGTCTGCCGCAAGAGTAATGATGCTATAGCGATAGTAGGATAAGTGTATTATCAATCGATGTCCATATTTGTACTGTCATTAGTTTAAAGTTGTAAGTCGGACAGTGTCGTTGACAGCTATTAATTAGTGTCGAATTCTAGTTATATCTATATCTAACAGACTAACCGTAAGTACAGAAGTATAACCGTGAAGAGTTGTCGTGATTTCGTTGTGCGAAGCTATTGACCAACTTGTAGTCAGAGTTTGAAAAGTCGATGACTGCTGTTACAGTCAGTAAGGGTTGAAGGCTACAAATCGACAGCAAAGGTGGCACGATGAAGTCTCTAAAAGATGATAAACGGTGAGTGCTGCGTGTTTGTTCGGTTAGTGAACAGAAAAATATCGAAAAGAACATAAGAAACCAAGAGTGTCACTCTGGACTCATGTCAATGATACCCGTGAAAAACTCTGTCAGTGTTGGGATAGAGGCGACAATATCGTTTTCAGTTTGCAGGAGATTCGCTCGACTGCATAAACTGATGATTCGCGCGGATGATATTGTCGTCAGACCATCAATTGAACTGGACAGGTTGTAAATCGTCGAGTAGTTGAACAGCCGATTGATGTACCGGAATCATCTGTTAAATAACAGCCACGAGGAAACAATACTTCATAAAATGAAGTACGACATCGAAGTAGAACAACTACAATAGTTCAGATGTGTTACAATGTCAAGTCTAAATAACATCGTTCTTACGTATACTGACAGTTGCACTGAACGTTCGTTTAGGTATGATTAGCGTAACAGTTGGATGTGTGAATAAAAACATATACGAAAACTATGGTTGGGTTCGTGGAGAATTTTCGAGGACGTTTAGATATTTTCCAAACCCGTATGGCATGTAAATAAACCGAAAATAGAATTGAAATGACTGTCGTGTAATAAGGAAATCGAGCCGTGATTTACCGTGTGAATTAATAGCAAATACAAGGGTATAATAAACATTAATTAAAATGGTAACCACCAATGTAACTAAGGTTTAGAGGGTCCAGGTAACGTGGCCATTTCGTAAAAGGCTGATACAAAGAGCTTATTACCTAGCGTTAAGTGACATATTAAGTACGACAACGTGTGTACTTGGGACATGGACTAAGCGTGCTCGTGTACATGCAATATGTTTTACCACAGTATGTCGACTAACGAGTCATAAATGTACATGATTTCGACTAAAACTTGACGGCAGTGACAGAATATATGACTACTTTACATGAAAGCAACTACGAAATGTTATCACGCATCATAAATATAGTACGAAATAATCTAATGAAATTATGAAACTCGCCTGGGTTACTCTTGCCTTTAAGTAATGAGATATGAAGTAGGCAGTAGTTTGAATCCGGATTATGTACGAGGTACTGTTGATTAAATTTTTCGAGTTGTAGACTGAATTTGTATAAGTCCAGAATTAATTTAAGCCAAATACATAGCATTGCCTGACGAACAGTCTAAACGAGATCTAAGATTGCAGAAAATTTATAGTTCAAACTCACTGTAAATTTCTAGCATTCGTATCCTCTGTTTGGCCATGGAACTTAGCAACTGGAAATTAGGCAGGCAGTGGTCAAAGGAAGTAAAAAAACGTAAACCATTCTAGTGTATAGTGATTAAGCAGAAAGATGGATTTGTAGTCGACAGTTAATCTTGTCTCGCTTATACCAGTGGATAAGTTACAAACAGATATGCGTTCGTGTTGCCTTGTGGCTATACTCACGAGTGGTTGATATTCTAACAGACATATTACTCAGGAGCATTTACATGCTGCTAATGCTTGTTAAAGAACCACGAAAGCCGATTATAAACGTAGTTGATTAGTTATTTCTATCGATCGAACTAATTATTTAGGTTTAAATGCTAGTCAACATTGACATGAAGCAACGAAAGTTCACAGTGATAGATTAACATAGGCGATGATAAAATGAAAAAGAATAAGTACAGAATGCAATAATAAAGATTATAGTGATAGGTTGCGTTATTCGAAGTCTTGCTCACCAGTGTAGATCACCAGCATAGATGATCTATGTCGAAATGATTGGAGGCCTACTCGAGTTAGACGTGAATGGTGTGACAAACTAGCTAATGTCGAAGTCACACCTCGTGGTTAGCACGTTACGTGGACTACCCCATTGACGTATCAAGGTACCATAGATGCTTCGAAGACTGTACAACACAGAGGACGTTATTACAGAAATATATTAGTTAAGGTAGATACAAGCGAAAGTAAGACCACTGCTGCATGGGCCAGTCCATGGCATACCATTAACTAATGCGCGTTGGTTGTACGTGACCTTGGCAGGGAGCGACGATCTGTTCGAGATTCAGTGATCCAACTGCCGGATGATTTGGCTAGGGATCAGTGACATTTCACT